TCGTTCGGGCAGGGCTCGCTTTCCCCGAGCACGTGTCTATCTCCGAGCAGACATCTCTGGGAATCTCAAAATGCCATGGACTATAGGTAATCGACTACGCTGAGCATAGTAGCAATATTTGTTTTTATTTAGAAATGAATATAACTTCGCCAGAGGCATTGTTGTGAAAAACCGTTTTTTCGCCTGTTACTAGCAAAAATTAAAATCCTTATATCTCGATCAAATCTTATGCTGACTCAAGGAAATTTTCAGGAAAGGCTCAGGACAGCTCATAAAGCATAAACGAAGACGAAAAAGGTGAATGTGAGCTGGGCATTGTCTCACATTCACCTTTTTCGTCTTCGATTAAGCTTTACTTCACGTTTTGTTTTTGTTTTTATTTTCTCTACTTCTAGGTAATAATGAGAGACTTGCAGTTATTTTTGTTGGCTTTTAAAGGTGTTTATTGTTTCTTTTCGGATCTTTTTACGTGTCCAAATCTGACTTTATTTTGAAAAACCAGAAATGAAAACAGTAAAACAATAAACAAAAAGATTAACTAGATCCTTTAGGGTCTACTACAGTGTTACTTAGTGACGATAAATATTGATGGGTCCATTAGGATCTACCATATCGTCGCTCGTTAATATTTAACACTGTTTCGATCCATTGCGGTCCTTCTGTTTTTTGTTTGTTACCTATAATGATACAATCAATCGACAATATGAGATGTAAACAATTTAAGATAACCAGATTTACTTACTTGCTGGAACGTGAGCATGACGGACCGTTCACCACATTTCCTACACACCATAGCGTGTTGATTACGGTAGTCGATATAACAATGTTCATGGGCGACATGACCATATAAATAACGTACGACCGAACCCTATGAACCATAAAGAACCCGCCCATCACAAAAAAGCAATTACCAACTATGATATGTTGATATCTACGTGTGTTCTCATTCGTAGTCATTTTAATCAATTAATTATATTTTGTATGTATATCTACAAAATATACAAAAATACAAAGAATGGTTTCACAACAATCAAGAATTGATCAACTGTGTCTCTGCCTCTATCAATAAACAATAATTCACATCAGTATAAACAGAAAATCGGTAGTCGTCATTATTTGGTAATGATATTATTTATCAGAAACAAAAATACAACAAACAAATAGACATTAAAAAATACTTATTTATTTGAACGTGAGCATTTGTGAATGCTTTCCACATTGGGCACAAAGATAAACATGTGGTACGTATCTGAAGAAGTAACAATCTTCATGGTCAACATGATCACATTCATGATGAACGATACCATCATGTTGACCTTCATAAACGAAACGACCACAAAAACCACAAATACCCATATATGATCGATAACGACAAATGACGTTAGGTCTGTTGATCTACCATATCGTCATCCATTAACATTAATTGATCCATTGGAGGTTTTTTTTAATAATATCGATCGTCAGCTATGAAGAGCAATCAACCGACAATATAATGATATGAGAGTAAGAAAACAACTTTAGACAATCAAGCTCACTTATAAAAAAGCGAGCTCTATGATATCTTGGTTTAATTACCTATAGACGATAAATGAAGACTTCATCCCACATTGAAAACAAACTACATTGTGAGGATGATAATACGCATGGCACTCTTTATGTAACACGTGATCACACTGATAACATGCTACAACCATGATCATTATAAATCACTTTTCGTTTATATATCCCACAAAATTCAATTTCATTTTCTAGTTGTGTCAATACAAATGACTTGTTTAACTTGACCCATTGATAACTATTTGTCCATATATCTAATGTAACCGTTTGCTTATCATGAAATTGTTTGAGACCTCGTTCATACGATTTCCTGTCCTTATTGTTGGCACTACTGATCTAGATCGACAATTCCATTCATTTGGCGTTGCTGTTTGCTCCAATGAGAAATCAAAAAATTTCACATTTGTTTTTCGTGCCCTTCAAGGTGGTGCAAAAAAACTTGATTTACAAGAAATTAATCCAGATGTTTTGATTGCAGATGGTTCAGATGCAATTCATAATGGATTTCAAGCAAATTTTGGAGAAAAACCTACGATTATGTGTTGGACTCATATGCGGCGAAAGGTGGTAAAGTACACTGAATCTATCGTAAACAAGACGGACAAAGAAGATTTGATAGAAGATATTGAAGTATTACAATTGGCACAAAGTGAACAAATGTTTACGAAAGCTTCCAATCTTTTTATCAAAAAATGGAACAAGAAAGAACCAAAATTTATCGAATATTTTCAAAATGAATGGTTAAATTCACATAATGGTTGGTATGAGGACATAAAACATTTAACTCCAAGCACAAATAATGGTTTGGAATCAAACAACAGAGTTATTAAGGATGAAAATACATTTCGTGAACGTCTTCCATTATCCAGATTTAAAATTTTAACATTAGAAATTGTTGAAAAATGGTCAAAATCGTATGAACGAGGTCTCAAACAATTTCATGATAAGCAAACGGTGACATTAGATATATGGACAAATAGTTATCAATGGGACCCATTGATATGGTTCCAGGAACCATCTTATGTTTCAAGTTTACTACTAGAGAAATCGATATTATATCACCTGCAGGCCAACAACTTTAGCCAACAAATGAGGAGTGAGGGTGAAAGGATAAGCAGCATAGCATGACTGGTTTCGTCCTTTCTTAAGGGGCTCACTGAATGGTTATTTTTTGGCTTGCAAGAATGATCACTTTTTACCGACGTAGATAAATAGAAACTGAAACATATGCATAAAAAAAATTCGGTATTTGACGCATCTGTAGTCAAAGCAATAAGTCGGAACGATATATGCTTTGTTAACAAATTTCATAAGTTATTCATCTCCTCCTCCTCAAAAAAGTCAATTTTTGTTACAAATTCAGAAATTGAGAGAAATGCATGTGAAGATAGTCCGACTTCAGATCTTTCAGAAATGATATAATTATTTATTCAACATCTTTCTTTTGACCAAAACTTTTGATGCTTGCCAAATAGATTCTTTCTGGGGAAAAACAGAAATGTTTTTCGTTTTCTCAGTTTATGCTTGTTTGATCGCGTATTCTACGAGTCTTCGAAGGAAGTTAGATATCTCTAATACAATTCAAGTGATTCAAGTCCTTCTTTTATACTATGATAGTATATTGTTTTAAGTTTTATTTCACATAAATCGATTTACAACCAATATTAAAAATGATTCTTATTAACTGAAAACCCTAAAACTATTATTTTCTATATACTTTGGAAAGTTTGTTTTCGAATTAATTTATCTCATTCATCGATTCTCATTTTAAATTCAATCAAGACTTTATATTTGTCGTAACGTTACCGACATTCTCTAGAACGATGACTAGGTAATCATACAGTGGGAATCATACTATTTAAACTGATTGAGAAATACGTAATATCTTCAGTCTTTGTCACAACACAGGTTGAAGAAAATACTTTCAAAATTTTAAATCGGTTAAATACCGACATCTATCGGCTCGATGAACTTTGTCAGCCAGGCGTTTCTAGCACTGGTCTGAGGGATGATCTGTAAGATTGTTTAGAATTCCACTATCCAGCTGAAGTTAGCGCATAACTTCAATCAAAACCAAATATGGATTCCTATACGCCTCGGCGAGAGCTACAAAACTAGCATATTTAGATCGTACCAGAAGGGTATGCTGTATAGGGATTTGTGCAGAATTTTTTGCTCTTTCAGACTAGACTCTTGGTAGCTACATGACATTATATTTGCTTTAATTTTTAGTCAAAATACGATCATTTTTAGGGAAAGAACTAACGGGGGAACCTCCCCAAATGACACCCTCCGCTTGGGCTTATATTTTGCGTACAGGTAGGACTCATAGCGCAGATAAAAGCCCTAAAAGGGTTCATTCCCATAGCCTGTTGTTGTTTGGATACTGCGTTTTTAAGGTATCGTAATAACTCATTGTCGTGGTCCCCTTCAGGGACATCGGAAAAACTCATTTTCGAATTTCGACTTGAAATTTTGTATAGAGTGAGGTCTCAATAAGAGTGGTTTATTGTGAAAGTTCCAGTTTTCCTAAATGCTTCTAATGGCAAATAAGAACATCAAAACTTGCCGCTGCAAGTGACATTAGGTTACAAAGCCGTATCTTAGAATAGGAAGAGGGAATAGGTCTGAAACTTTCACAATAAACCACTCTCATTGAGACCTTACTCTATACAAAATTTCAAGTCGAAATTCGAAAATGAGTTTTTCTGATGTCCCTGAGGGGTCCACGACAGTGAGTTATTTCAATACCTTAGAAATGCAGTATCCCAACAACAAAGGCTATGGGGACAAATCCTTTTAGAGCTCTTATCTACGCTATGAGTCCTATCTACAGGCAAAATATGAGACCAAACGGAGGGTGTCACTTGGGGAGGTTCCTTCGTAAGTACGAATACAATGTGAAACCATCGAGGAGTTTGCCAAGTGGACTGAATATATCATCGAAAGATGCGCCATCTTTTTCTACGTTTTTTGGTAGGTATCTTTCAATTTATTAAAGATGGGCCGATCCTGTTCTTATACGCCCGCGTCCTTTGAGCTTTTTTCTTTTTACAGCCACATAGGTTTATAGAGAGTTCAATTCTCTACAAGATGGCTAGGATGCCAGTTCAAAATACTCTTTATATTAGAAATGTCAGAACTTTTTTGAACAAATATGTCTTTGAGAAATAAAGCGCAAAACACATAGTATTTGTAGCTTAAAGATTTTCTTTTTTTTTCTAATCGGCACTGATATTCCTTTACCACACTATAAACGTGAATACTAGCGAATGCGGACTACAAAGTAGCCAGAACAACAAAATCCTACCTTACTTTTCTTTCGAACTTTGAAGGGAAATCTTTAAGGTTGCAAACACCACGTGTTTTGCGCTTTATTTCTCAAAAACATATTTGTTCAAAAACGTTCTGACATTTCTAATATAAAGAGTATTTTGAACTGGCATCCTAGCCATCTTGTAGAGAACTGAATTCTCTATAAACCTACGTAGCTGCAAAAAGGAAAAAGCTCAAATTTCAATAAGCATGAGACTAACAAATCTGACAAACTGCGGATTTTTAGGACTGCTTCACGAAATAGTAGATAATTTTTTTCAACATAGCTTTCAAGTAATGTATCAAATAATCTGTTGGATGCAGTTTTTGATGCTCTTTCTAATGGTATATTTAAAAGTTACATTTGATCTTGTTCTCATGGATGGAGATAAATGATATTTATTGGAAGCATGTATCTACAAATGAGAGTGTTGGAGAAAACTCTTTCTTTCGTAGTACTTTTGGAACTTATTTCAAATAAAAAGTAATCCATTTTGTAGCGCAATTGACGCCCTATCGAATGTCTCAAAATAATTCATAATAAAATAAAAAGGATGTGAGGTAAAACAGAAGACAAAGTGTATATTTTTCACACGCTGTCTAACGTGAAAAATCAGTCTTTTTTTCACGAGAAATATCGCTTCAATTCAAAATGATTATCGAAACGGATGACCTTCATTGCGGGTGCGTAAACCGAAAATACAGAAAACTATATATGTGGTCGAATACTTTTTTCACCAACTGTACGATCAGGTGGGGGAACATGGGGAATTTCCTTCACCTAATTTTTTTCTTACATTTTGCTATTCTCCCTAGAAATTTTCTTTCTCGAGTGGTTAGCGACTTTTAAACTTGCAACAGACAGAATGAACTATAGAAAAGAGAACCAACTGTTTTCTCACACAAAAAACTTTCTCGCATATTGTAGAGGTCTCATCAACAGAAACAATCTACTCAGTAGTTCGGAAGAAATGACTCGGATTCAAAGAGAAAATGAATCAGTTCAAGAGAAAATGGCTCGGGCTCAGAGAGAACGTGGTTTTAAAGAGAAAACCAATCGATTTTGAGAAGAGAGTGAATCGAGTCCACCGAGAAAATAATTTTGTGCAATAGAAATAAACTTGTTCTCATTTATCTGAATATTTCGGATGTATTTGTTAACACGAAAAATGGTAAAGAAGGAAACTTGATTCAAAATTGATGACTAGAGCCTATAAAGTCTGTACTGAGAACATATCTTACTAGCAAAAACATGTTTCTCTCTAGCTTTTGAAGATTTTCTTCATGCATTCTTCTTCCACCTAAGCAGAAACAAACGAAAGCTGTGCCTGATCCGGGGATTTCCGGAGCTTTCCTGCCGGATACGTTAATTTTTCCTACCGTTTACAGCAAGAATTCCCTTGTTTCGGAAGGCCAGAATCTTCGATCTGGGTAGATGAAAAATAAAGGACCATTTAAAGAGAAAACTTCAGCGAATACTTATTAGTTCTCTCTTCAAAGGACAATACAGTTCTTTAATCTCTATTATTCGTCATCTACAATCAGCTGTTCTTGCAGCTGAATCTGTGACTGCTCAGTCTTTAATTATCTCAATCAATATTTTTGTGGGACCAATTGTAAACGAACAATCTTCTATCAAAGATTAAAAAACGGATTCTATCGATTCAATTTTGATATATGCATCTCGCGTTTCAGAGATTACTTTCTGGTTTTCCGTACTCAAGTTCACTGTGACACAAAATGACAATATCAATGCTGATGTTGAGACAAAATAAAAGCAGATATGAAGAAAATAGATGGATCAATTGAATTTTCCAATATATGTGATTTTCGATGTGGAAAAATAATTAACAAAGACTATGAAAAAGAAAATAAAGAATTATTTTTAAGAAACTTTATTTTATTGATTTAATTTCATTTATCATTTATCAAACTTTTCTTTTAATTTATTTCAAATTTTTGTATTCGATTATTTCCGCAATCAGCAACATAAAGATTATATTCTTGATCAAATGACAAACCAAAAGGATCATTCAACTGATTTGATTGTTCTCCTTTTCCATTTCCACCAACAATAGTAGTTCCTTCATTAGATCCTTTAAACCAACACATTATTCGATGATTGTCCGAGTCCGCCACATATATTTGACCAATCTGATCGAGAGTTAGTCCACGAGGATATGACAATTGACTCAAACTCTCACGTTGGCCATTTTCACCAGCAACAACAATTCCTTCTCTAGCATCTTTGAACCATTTCATTATACGATGATTGTAGCAATCTGATACATACAATGAACAATCTTGATCAACGAAGGTATAAGTAGGTTCATTGAGTTGACTCAAACTATTTCCTTTCCCATTTCCGCCTGCTACAATTGTTCCATTCTTGTCTCCTATTTTCCATCGTCTTACTTCATGCTTTTTAGTGTCAGAAACATAAAGATATCCATTTTTATCCATGGCTAGACCATAACAGTCAATATCTTCAACGATAATTTGTCCACACTGAATCTTTTATTTGATGTTTTTGACCTAGTGGCCCACTTTTTTAGAATCTTAAAAATAGCCAGTTTTGTACAGCTTGAGAAGTTCTATCGAATGATATATAAAAGAATTGCGGAGGAACTGTAATTATCACCAATATATAATAAAAAATGAGAAAATTCCTTTTTCTATACACACTGAATCTATTGTTTGATATTTTCGACCCACTGGTGCACTATTTTAAATTCTTTAAAATAATCAGTTTTGTAGAGTTTTTCAAGCTCTATCGAATGGTATATAAAACGATTCAAGAGAAGCTATAATTGTAAACTAAATATGATAAAAGACGAAAAATATCTGTGAGAATATTATTGACTAATTAATAGGCTCTGATGACATCTAAACTCTTATGGAAATACATTAAATTTAGCATCGAAATGATCAGAAAGCCATAATCTATCAGTTTATCTATGAACCAGTTAGTTTTACTAGCAAAAATCAAAAGGGGCCAAAATACGTCCTTATACGCCCCCACCCTTTGATCATGTTTTTTGTAAAGCACTTGTCGTATATTGAAGATTTTCTTGTTCTGTATCATTCACTATGGAGCGCTGAACTTTTTCAGTTTAGAACTGGATGAGTTTGTTTTGCGATTGTTGTGAAGTGCAAGTGAATGGGATGCTTCCGTTGGGATTGGCAAAATAATTGTAGTATTAATCTGAAATAGAATCAGAGACATATTAAAGAAAAGATTATATAAACATTAATCAAAACAATTTTAAAAGGAACATAAAGTGAATGCAGCACGCACGAAATAAAAGAATGTTAGCCGATGCGTATGCGTAGATAAGAAGAGAAAGAGAAAAACAATCTAACTAGAAGATGCAAGTAATAACATGTTCAATCCCATACGTCAAATCCAGAGGCCCATTCCATTCTTGTAGAAGAATATCATTCTACCTGATGCCTCTCATTAACTTGGCTGAATAGGGTACGGCTAGGGTACGGAACCATTCAAAATTATTTATACCATAAAGTACCAACTTTTTAACTAAACATGAATTAACTGTGCCATTAAAAAACATTAGAGACGCATCAAGATTAGTAAAGACAACACTAAGAAACATAAAGGTTAATAAAATAATACCCAGCGGAGCTAATTGAACATTCTACGAATTTAATGAATCATTGAAAGAAATTGTAGACGACGGTAATGAAAAGATCTTTAGGGTTTTAGAAATGTAACAGCGACGCCATACCACGGCCTTCTTTTCTGGTTACGCCACTCGTGCATATTGCACAACAATGTGTTTCTGCTTGGTTTTTCCCCGGAAAAATTATTAAGAGAAAAAAGAAATCTGCTCTTCACATAGATATGAGTAATGTTGACTGCAGTGCATCATAAAAAGAAACTACTTCCCTTGAGATAAGAAAAATGAAATATATACGACAGTTCTCTACAGCTGTTTTTCATTCATTTTTCTTTTTAATAAAAGTGCTATACCTGAAATAACCGTAAGTACCCCTTCAAAATACTTTATCCATTGAACGTATGGAAACTGTTTCTCCTTTTGTTTGGTCTTTCTCAGTTAGAAAACAAATCATGTCTTCCTCGTTTTCACCATTGAACACAACTACTACAGAATCAAGCGACAAAGGATCCTCAGCACCAAGTGTCGATATTGGAGGTGGCTGGACGGCTAGTCCTGGTACTGTTCCTTGTCCAGATGTACCTGATGGAGTAGGACCTGAGAATCCAGGTATTGGTAATACATGCGGGCTTAGCATAACTGTCAAACATCCAATTTAATTTCATCGAACAAGAGCATACTCCAGATATAACGAACAACTTAGAATATTTTTTTTATTCTATTTACTACAGTTCTAAGTAATTCCTTTTATTAATATTTTAATCAGTTTCGCTAAATAAACATCTTTTGTCCCCGAACAAAATGAAAATAGTCAGAGGAGCTGCGCAATGACATCGATATGTCAAAAAGTATAGAAATAAAATAAATAATAATAAGTTCGAAATTACTTTAGGTGTTCGCGGTGACTACTGCTTCTACAGATCGGAAATTATTTTTAGTTTCTGTGTTTTTCCTATAGCAGACTCAGACTTTCTAACAACGTGTTTTAAGTTACAAAAGATTATTTTATTGCCGAGGAACTCATTCTCTGCAGGCAGAAGTATCATAGTTGATAGAATTTTGAGCGAGTGTGAGTAACATTTATCGGCGATGACATCATAACTACTGGTAGTAATAAACCTCTTGGAGATTGAGCTTATCGTAAACTTGGGATTAATGGAGTTTTGCCGACGAATGCGACTAACCAAACTGCTTGTGTTATACTAATCGTTTTCGTTTTACGCTTTTGATACCCGAAGATACCGTCGAGGAACTCTAAGTCGAGAGAACGAGTGTTAGCAAATTCAGTTTATCGGAATAAAAGTTTAATAATGTTGCAAAAAAAAGTCAGGTCTTCGCAGACAAGGATCGAAAATAAGCCAAAAAAGACGGTTTTCGAACTTTCTTGATTCGGGATAAAAAGTGTTTTTTAGGGCTTGAGCTGAGAGAATATAAAGTCAAAACTTACATTTCTCAATTTTCGTTTCTCGGTTAACTGTCTTCGCACAGTGTGCAATTTTCAATAGGCACGACGACATTTAGTCGAGACGCCGAGCGGCCAGAAGTTATATGTCTGAAAAAACGTTTTGTTAAAAGAACTCGCATTTTGCTCACAGCTTGAGATAACGGTGGCGAAGACTTTTGTATAAGTCACATCTCCGCTGTCAACCCGGTTAATCGCCTGACATAGTGAACTGTAAGCCACATTACGTGCCAAACAAAGGAGTACAATATAAAACACAAGATCTTTTCTTTTTCTTCAACAACAATTCAAGTCAATCAAAGCAATGTTCGGGACTGTTACAAACTAATGTATTCCCCATTTGTGTTTCGGTGATGAAAAATATCTCAACTAGCATAAAATAAAACATAACAACCATCAAAATACTTTTTTTACTATTTGTTCAAATTGTAGAAGTATCCGAATAGAAGGATTCACCGACTATTCTGTCAATCTTTGTAAATATATCTTAAGAAAAATAAACTTTAGAAAACTAACAAAACAATTGGAATTACTGAACGTACTCCTTAAGAAAATTTTAATATAGCTTCAACTTGAAATACTGACATACCAGATGAGTACTTTAAAAGCTGGAACAAATTGACTACGTCATACAAAAATCTTTTATATGAAACTACTTTTCAATGTCACTCTCACACTATCCCCCCGCCCCTCCCCACACACACACTACCAGAAAATACCTAAATTTTATTATGAAAAATTCGTAGAAGAGTTGGTTCGCGGAAGAGACGTGTGACAGAATAAAAGAAGTAGTTAGATAAATAGTAATGGCTTTTTATAGGGATGTATCGCGATATTCTACTGTTTATCACGATACAGGTGAATACGGCGATAAGATGCACTGATTTTTTTTACAGTGTTTTTAAAGCAATCTGAACTCTATCGCGATATGAACGAGAATTGTTGTGATACTTTTGAAAAAAATATTAAAATACAGACAGAAAACAAGTTAACTAGAGTCAAATAAAGTAGAAAAACGGTAAAAAACGTAATAATTGTCAATATTTTTTTATTGATTTATTATTTTTCAAGGCCCATCCCCCCGTCAGAAGCCTATCACTGAAATTATAAGTCCGATCTTGACTAAACTTTCAAGAGATGCTGGTCTTGTGAAAGTATTGTGACGATATTTTTTGTTTGGCTCCGTCGTGCATGGTTTGTGAAATGTCGCCACAGTGGTGGTCAGAATGGGGCTGTTTGTAGCTCCCACATTTCTCAGTAACGAAACGTTGTGGAGACCTCGGGCAGGTCTTAAATTGACGAAAACGCATGTGGCTAGAGGCTAATAGAGTCGGATTTTTGATATTTTACTGTCCAGAATAACGGTCAGCGTCAAAAGTCCAAAATTCGAAAAAGTCTCATTAACTTTGGTAAAGACGTTTTTCTAATAACAAATCTAGCCTAAATATCAAAATCGGGCTCTGTTAGCCTCTAGCCATATGTGTCTGCTTCAATTCAAGACCTTCCCAAGCTCTCTACGATGTTTCGTCACCGAGAAATCTGGTACGAGTTTGTGTTAAGGTAAAAGTCGCTTTCGAGATTTGGTGGCGCCAGTATCTCCCAGGTCGAAGCTCTACGGCCGTAAACTATAGTCGAAATACATATCCATTCCAGATAAAATACGCCGTCGTAATCCTTCTCCACGGTAGACGTCATCGTATTTCGTTGTAAACAGCTCGTATTTTGACGTATACTACAGTATCCATCATCATAAACTGTAGTATACGGCCATTTACCGCTGTAGTAATCATCGTCCTGGGCTGATGCATGTTTTAGGGCTTCCGGCAAGACTCTACTAACTCTTGACTGGAACGTCATTCAGAGCTGGGCGATATCTCATTTTGATCAGAAATGTTTCCTCTATTTTCCTATGTACTAAAAGTAATTTCCGATTTGCTTTTTAATCGGAAAGTAAAAGTTTTCTAAAAACCTCCATACCCCTTCGATGAGGACTAAATAGCATTGGATTCTGCTGGTAGATACTGTGGGCTATCTGATGATTTGCTTAACTCAATATCGGCTTTTTTAAAAAAATTATGTTTCTGATGGGAGGGAGTCCTTAAGTTTAAATGTCTCTTCGTACACTTACCACAGTTTATTTTTTTTGAAAAAAATGAGAAATGTTCTTTTCGGAACGTCAAAATACATAGAAAAAATTTATAAATAAAAATGAGATTCAAGATAGCTGCTGTTACAATTAGGAAATGAAAATTTCGTTATTGCACCATACTTATTCTTAAACGAGTACAATATGGCCCCTTAAAGTATAGATTAAAATGCTAGTCGCAAGATCTTGTTGTTCGCCGTAACTGCAAAAAGTTTGTGACAGCCTCGATAAAATAAGCACTTATCGCGATATAATGTAAATGCAAACTATCATGATATCGCTCAAAAGAATGTCAAACACTTGGTTGGAAATTATATGAACATAAATTAATATGCAAAAAAGTTACATAGCTCTAAAACTATGGCACCTGTTATTATTTTACATGCATGTAAATGCTTTCTGACTTTTTAATTCAAAATTAAGTGTCGGCATTACCGAAAGGTCGTCTACATAGTATCGTATTGGAGCGAGATTTAACACAAAAACAAAACGTTTGACTTAGGATGCTATCTGAAATTTCATCCTGAAAAATCCAGAGGTGGTGCCATTTCCGAACAGCCTTTTAGCTATTAGACTATTCGGAACGCTTCAACTACTACTTAGGAAATGGAGTCACTGAAGATGTTATCCTCATAACTCTGGGCTGTCTTGATAAAAAATTATATTTTGGATCCAAGCCTAACTTTTCATGGACTTTCAACTGAGCATTAAAAAGTGGGGTTCAAAATATTGCGAATTATGATGTTGCCGATTGAGCCACGATTCGTCTCCTAAACATTTTTAAGTAGAAGTGTGTGAGATATAGAGAAAAGAACAAAAAACAAAATATAAAAGGATTGGAGAAGGCCAAATATTCAACTGTAAATAAAACATTCTGAATTATTATTATAGTTTAAAAAAGTATCGTTGTCGTTCCGTTGAAGTTGTCTATTGGGCATAATTTTGATAGAATTAAAAAAATTCCAGTTTGCTGTCCGTAATACGTTTGGTTATTCGATCAAGTGCCTTCTTACATTGCAACATATTTATATTTGTCGGAGGAAAAGTTTGTGAATTAATATCATACGCCTGTTTATAATTTTTTTGTGCCAGATGTGCTTGATTCATTTCCTCGTACATTTCTCCCATATTGTAATATAATCTTGATAGTAGATAATGTGTTGATGTGAGCTTGCTTGAATAAATATTCAACGCTTCTTGGTAATATTCCTGAGCTTTTTCCCATTCCCGTTTTAAAATAAATACTTTACCCATATTGTTATACCATACGCCAAGATTCACGTGATCCGATCCAACAATAGTCGATCGATCCATTTCTAGACAACGGAAAGCAGCTTGATGATCACCCAGTCGAATATTGACTACTGCCATATAATTATGAGTATTAATTGTAGTTAATAGATGAGCTGCTTTTTGGCAATAATCTAAAGCAATCTTATAATTAACATTGGAGGCATTGATCTCATCCATCTTAACCACTTCTTCATCACCTTTCCTCAAATAAACATTTGCAAAAGACAGCAACAGACCACCCAGTGTCGAATTATCTTGGGTAGTAAGAGATTTTCCTCTCGCTTCAAGTATCTTTGTAAAATATATCAATGCTTCATTGTATTTTCCATTTGCTATATATATATCACCAATTGATTTATATGTATCTAATATTAAAATGTTATTGGTTGGTAAACATTTTTCTCTTGACTCAAGTGTTTTTGTATAATAATAAAGTGCTAGTTTATAATCAGATTTACTTTTATATATTCCACCCAATAGACCGTATGTATCAGCCATCAAAGGATGTAGTTCCGGTAAATGTTGTTGTCTAATATCGAGTGCCTTTTGGATATTGTTTAATGCTTGATCATAACTACCTGTCAACCAATTTACCATTGATATATTGTTATAGACTGTAGCGATAAGCGGATGATTTGATGTAAGTACTTGCGAATAAGCATCAAGTGCCCTGTCGTAATACACAAGAGCCTCTGTCCAATTATTTCTGTACCTATATGTCATGCCGATATTGTTATATGTTACACCCAATGTAATAAAATCAAAATCACGATTATTATCATCGCTATATAAAATATTTATTACAATATTGAAATTATCCAATGCATCATCGAGTTGCTGTCTTCGCATATATGATATACCAATGATGCCGTACAATCGTTTCATTAGATCCATGTCATTACTCAATTGACATTCATTAATAACCAATTTACAATAATGTTCTGCTCGCTGATAATCGGTCATATTTAAAAATAGATCTCCTAAATCTACTTCTGTCGGCCGATCATCCATTTCCATTTTCAAATATTGTGTTAATATTTTCACTTGTTGATCTTCATTATAACTCAGTTTTAAACATACTTCCCATATATCTTCATCATCCTGTTTTTCAATTGATTCAACAGTAAACACGGTAGCCATGGAGAGCAAAACTTCATCTTCATCGTTGAAATAGCTGATATTTTTAATATTGGCAAATTTTGCTGGTATCTCAACTGTTTTCAAATCGATCATAATTTTAAATAGAACCGGTTCAAGAAACGGACGATTATTTCCGTTACCAGCATAGATCACAGCAATTTGCCTGTCCGTCGTTGTTGATAAAAATGTATTCATTGAAATGAGTCTGCCAATATTATCCCGAATTCTTTGTAATTCTTCTGCGGATGTCTGTTGACCACGATAGACAATGAGATAATCCTCCTTTGCCAGTATCAATGTTTGTATAAAATTGATTGAAAAGTCCCGTAATTGATTATATAGATCAATCATAAAAAAACGAAATTTAAATATAATATCAATATTTTCAGTACGAAACGCCCTGTTCAATAATCGATATAGAAATGAGTCTCGGGTGTACCAAAAAATGGCTTGATTCTTCTGGTACGTTTTATCAAATTCATCTATTTTAGCTAATTCTGATACATTCTTGTCATAGTGTAATCGACACGTAGCTAAAAAGTCTTTTTTTGCATTATCTGTCTGTGGTATTCGTAATAATGTGTCAATAAGAAGCTGAAACCAGAAAAATGTACCCTGTTCCGCTGTTAAATCCTTCACAGAATGTTCAATATTACTCGGTCCGAAACTGATCATCATCGGAGATGAATTAGAAATATATTTTACATCTTTCATCAGTGCACTGCATAAATCTTCTCGATTGGTAAAAATTCCATGAATTTTTGAATAGGATTTTGACCATTGTTCATGTCTGCGTTGATCCGTACAGAATAGATAAATTAATACAATTTGTGACATACCGTGAACAAGTGGAAGAAATGTTTCACCCAATGTACCTGATACAATAAAGAAAATTTTCTCATTATGAGCAGACGATATATAATCAAGACATTCCATAGGATTATCAAATGTTTTCAAAAAATTAATTATCGTACGAAGACGAGTTTTTGTCAGTTTGTTTTGACAATCGATATCGAGCCAAACAAGTGTAAAATCTTCCAAATTGCTATCGTCTTCCATGCAGTGCAAGCTAAAACAAATTATATATATATATACATATAGTTTCCCTCGCCCAAATAAACGCCACCTACTGTTTTGAATAAACTTTCCATACAATGGTGGTTAGATCTCATTTTTATATCATTTATACTTGTTAGTAGTACCCAACTAACCATGATATTATCAGTCATCAGTTGCAATAATTCATTGAAAAATAGAAAAAATGTGTTTTGTATACTTATGCGTGACTGAAAGCAGAATATGGTACTTGACTGACGAGACTTTTCAATCTCTGTTCTTGTCTTGAAAGATATATTTGTATGAGGAACTTGCAATACAAATTGCATCTGGACGCCATGTTCATTGCACATCCATCATACAAGTATATGTTTCAAGACAAGAACAGAAATTGAAAAGTCTCGTCGGTCAAGTGTGCAAGGGAGAAACAGCGGACTCAGGTACTTCGGGATTCACCGGACTTCAGTGACTCTGTGCGATTTCAACGGACTGCAAAGGGCTTATGTAGTCTCGGAACCCACGCAATCTTATGAATCTGCTTTTTTCTCTGCCATACATTACTGATAAAAGAAGGAAGATATTAAACTGCGAAAATTGATCTGAACATTTGAACAAATAATACATGAGTTTTCTGCTGTATGTTCAGGTGCAAAAAGATCATTTCATACACTGTCGACGCCCTGTATATTCATATGAAACATATAGAACTTTATTATACGGTAAAAACCAAAACCAAAATATAGTATAAAAACAAGCCTTTGACTAAAAACATAAACAATACGGCCATTCCACGTGACTCTGCTACCGGAAAGGTGATTGCGTTACCGTTTTTAGGGAACTTCAAAACGTCATAAGTTTTTGAGAAAAGTCGTGGAGAGTTGCGCGTGTTACGTAATGTGTTAGGTGTGACAGAGGCACAGAAGGTGGAAGAAAAATGTGCTTTCCAATCGAGAATCGGAATTCACAAAAAACACCTTCCTTTCCAATGTTGAGACTGATAAAAGAAGACTTAAGCAACAATTTTCTGTACAATCACCGTGGTTTCTCATGGGACTCCAATAAACTCCATAGGACTAAAATGGACTGTGACGGATTTCGGGACTCCGACGGACTTCCCGGAGTCCCACGGAGACCGCTGATTCGCTATTGCGACAACCACTCAGCTTCTCAAAAAATGGACGTCCGAATTGGACTTGATAACGTCGATGTAAATCAAGGATTCCAAATCTATAAATTGAACAGTCATCATTTTAGGCTTACTTCGAAAATTACCTGTTCTTGACTAAACTTGGTATGACAACCGCTAAACGCACCTTTGTGTGAGCACGTGCGTCCCAGTAAAAAAAAGTCAGAACTAGAAGTATGAAGATGTACTCCGTTTTCGAAGCACTCCTTTTGAAAAAAGCCACTAAGAGCATTCTGAAATACTCTTTTTTTGGAGTAGCCCAGAATACTCCTCAAAAAAAGAGCGCTTCGGAGCACTCCTTTTTATAAAGTGCAGCCGAGGCACTGCAGAGTACTTTAAAAAAAGTGTAGTTTTTGGAGTGCTTTTGAGAACATGTACTTCGAGTACTCCCGAGTAATTCTTAAAAAAGGGTTATCGAGATTACTCCTTTTTTGGCGCACTCTTTTTGGAAAAAAGAGTACTCCTTTCTTTTTTTTCCAAAAAGAGTGCTCCATTATACTTCCCCTCTTGATACTTTTTTTTGACTGGGGTGTATCTAACGAGTTGCAAAAGGTAAGCGTACATGCGGTCGCACGAAATAAGAAAAGTCACTGGTGCATATCGACAGCATGAGCCAAGTATATGTGGTGTACGACGGAATCCATGCTGCTTCTTTTTTAATTACTGCTTCGCAGCTGCGCTTCCGTACTCATAGCATATACTCTAATGTGTGAGAAATCTTCTAATTATAAATTATTTTCTCGTGACTTGTAGTCGGCCGTTCCCAGATACTATTCAACGAGAGGGCAGCAAATTTGTAAAAGGGAAGTCGTTATAAGTGTCGCATTCATATTTCCCTCAGCTCGAACTGATTGACCTTACTTTTTAAAACAGTTTTCGGGCGTATAAGTGATGCTTCAGGGGTTCTCAAGGGTGGAAAACTTGGATTCGACATTTCGACTAACTTGGCGATATCATAGGGCGTTCGAGCCGCTCTTTCTACCGCTTTCTCAAATCTCCCTTTCTAATCCCTCATTTTCCCTCTCTACACGCCCCACTATCAATACTCTTTCTACTCGATTCTCTAAGTTGAACGAAAATACTACGGTTTTTCGCTGTTGAACGGAAATTAAACAAAAAAGTAGTTTAGATCGGCATACCTGAAAGGAAAAGCATTTAAAAGCCTTTTTTTCTAGAGCAAGAAATAATCAGAATGTTCAGGATCTGATCAAATACGTTTCTTGAATACTTCAAACTCCAATAGAAATTTAAACTCATACTTTTATCTTCGAATAGTTTCTGAGAAAACTTCTGAAATTTCCCAGGCAGGTTTTAACTTTAACTCATCATGTCACCAAAAAGTACAAGTTTTATGAGCAAGAAAATTCCCTCTCTAAAGTGTACTTTGAGGCTAATTTCACCATGTTTTACCCGACTTTCTCTTCGGGAACATGATGCAATTCATTTCAGGTTTAACTAGAGACTAAGCTCAAAATTAGTAAATCCACAGCAATTTTATTGACATCTCTTAACTTTCTTTTTCATTGCTGTGTAGTGTACTTACTTTAAACTTACTATTTAAACTAGCATTTTCTCCCTTTCTCCCTTTCTTCCTTTTCTGCCCTTGACAACCGCTATTTCGACGTTGAGACATATGTAATGGAAGCAATTACAATAGTTACACTTAAGTAATGATCATAATTGCCATACACGTAGCTGCCGGCTGTTAAACTTGTGCATAAAGATCCCAAAATTCCAATCATTTTATTTCCTTTGTTCAACAACAATTTACCAATTAATAAATAACTGATTAATGGAAATGTCAGTCTTAGTAATGAACTATTTAATAATTGACTAATCAATTTAAAAGCAAAAATGCTAATTAATAGATTCGACACATGTAATAATAAACGTGATTTATCATTATAAACAATTCTTAAACGTCGTTCACTATATCTACGTTTGTTCATGATAATTTCTCGTCTCATTCTCAATATTGATTCTAAGCGTTTGGAATATCGCAGAGTAAAACAACGAAGTAAATGATAGAGAAGAGGATAAATAAATACATAATTAATTGTCACTAATAAAGTCATGAGAAAATATTTACTAATAAAATGTAGATGCTGATAATAAGTGAATGTATGGTCAATAATTGTAATTGAACTGAAGAGAAAGAGTGACAAGTTTGGGTCAATCAGAATGTATTTGATGAGAGATGTATAGAGAAATAGTGGAAGAAAACCGATAATCGATATCTGAAGAAACATCGGCACTTGACTAGTCCAACATACGATCAATACTCGATAACTTGTATACAGTACAACAATTAAATCAGTTAGTTCAGAGTAGAATTTCTTATAATTTGTATTCGATTCAATATATGCATTGTGGTTCAATGTTGTCATTCGATTTATGGAT